CCCTACAGTTTCACCAGCCGAGATTCAAGGTCTAAGACATCAGCCAATTCAGCCTACAACACTGTACACCTAGATAACCACCATTCACTCTGAGACACCAACACCAAATCACCCAAAACACCAACACAACATTCACCTACCAAATAAGAATGTGTGCTGTTACATATTGTCTGATGTTTATTAAAGTACTTTCTGATGGTTTCTTACAGGAGAAGGAGATCTCCCAGGGCCAGGAAGTTACAACCTGTCGAAAAATTTCGTGAAAAATGACTCTCCGGCATATTCCATGAGACAAAAGATTAGAGCCCATGAAAGTAAGTTGTGGAGTTGAATGAAACTGTTACCTGCACATGAGAATGTCTCTATTCAAACATTTGATTTAATTTTGTCCAAGATTGTAGATCTAGACCAAAGAAAAATTCAAGAAACTTTATGGGTAACAATTGATTTGAATACTGTATACCTGGAAATTTCCGACCTTTACAATCCCCTTTTCGCCCTCCCCATTGAGATTTCTACCCTCCCCATTGAGGGTGAATTTATCATGACAGTTGATATTAGTACACAACATACAATATATAGTAATTACATGTCAAGGGTGAAATGAACACTGGCCGAACATGGATTTTATTGGAAAAGAGCAAGTGTTCGATTTGGCAAAAGTTTCCCAGAATACAGTATTTTAGTCATGAATAATGGATACAATAACTCAAATTCTTCAGCGAAATAGTTTTTATATTTTCGGACGAAATTGTGAAAAAGTGTGAACTTACTATATCAGTTTTGATGCACAGAGAATATCAAGGCCAATTTTCCTCATTGAAAACAAGACCGTCTACATTATCTATTTATTTGATTGACAGCTGAATTAAAAACAGGACCGTCTATAATTGATTTATTTGATTGACAGCTGAATTAAAACAAGACAGTCTGTAATTCGTTTATTTGATTGACAGCTGAAAACCCTGCCCCCAACTCCTACAAGGCAGAGCAGAATGACACTGTTCCTGGTGGTCGCAAGGCACCCTCCTTCTCCATGGGGAGGCAGTTTGAAGTCCCAGACAGTAGGTGTAGCCATGATTGACATTATTACTCTCGAAGAATATTGATAGGAATTTCTCAGTCAATGTAACCAGACCTTAACGTAATGATGTCCTGTAAAACATTGCAAATAGCTATTTATTATAGTTGAAAAAAAGTTTAGTTTTGGGTTGATTTCAATATAAATTAGGGTTAAACCTTAATCCAGAATATGTAGACAAAACTGTCATCTAAGCAGAGACTAAGTATACTAAATATTACTTGGTAGAGTGATAATTTACAGGATTTTATATTAATCAATATATGCAATTTTAAGACATAGCTGTCCATATTTTGTCAATTAAGAATAGGCATCATGTAATTTTCCTATACAAACCAGTTGATATATATAAAATCACTGAAAAATGTTTTGTTGAAGGCAAGGTAAGCCCAGGACCTGCTGCTTATACTCCGAGTCTAGCAGAATCTACACCTAAATATACCATGACAAGTCGCCCTAAGAGCAACAGACGTAAGTTAAAACTTCAGTTAGGATACCAGGTAAAATCAGAAAAAAACATTTCTATGAGGTGTCAAACCCAATTGTATCAATAGGTACCACTATCCACTGGGAAGTTAACCAGTGATGGACTGGTGTCCATGAACAGAACACTATACATGCAATATTGACTATATTGCATTTTTAGTAACCAATGAGTCATTTACTTTGCTGACATAATCATTTTGAAATATAATGTCAAGGTAGAGGTACATGCATTACAGTTATTTGTCCATTGATCCAAGAGACGTGTATTTTAGGACATGACCACTTTAACACTTTGTTTCTATCCAGGGGGAGGTAACCCAGCTGCAAACGCTTACAAAGTGCCGTCAGCCTTTGGTCAGGCCAGTGCAGCCACGTTGAAGAGTCGAGCAAGTCCCTATGTGTACTCAGGATTTCGCACCACCAAAATCACAGAGGAAGTACCCTCCATTTAGGGCAGGGCAGAGGTGCAAACTTTTTTCCATGAGACATAAATTACATATAACTGAAGGTCTTCATAGTCTGGTCTACCTAAGGACACCCGACAGAGAAAAAAAAATCAAATCTTATGGAGGAACAAAAATTACTCATTGAGGGAAAAAGTTAATTTCCATGCATTAAAAAAATGTTTATATTCATTTATTCTTTAGTAATCATTTGTTTTTTGTTGATTCATCATTTTGAAAAAGTTTGCAAGAAAACCATCAGCTGTTGGATTTGAATTTGTTTGCCTTTTGATGAATCATATTGTTATCAGAAATAATTTAAATCATGTAAATTTGCTTATTAAATTCATGGTAGTGTGAACTGTCAAAACAGAATTTATCATCTTAGAATTAAACAAGTATACAGTAATTGGTTAGAGCTTGAATACAAGTAATGGGAAATGTGCAAGAAAATGTATTAAGAGTGACTGTTAATTAACGATAAAATAAATAAAAAACACTTACCAGGTAATGTTTAAAACCTGTCATTTTACTGGTGTATTTGTATACTCTATACAAACGTACTGAGAAATGTTTGCTGCAGTTTGACTTCCTCCGTAATGAGGGCAAATTGAGCATTATAGTAAAGCTCAGTGAACAAAATATCAAAGATAGTTATCAAATGTTGAGGGCGAATACTTTCGTCTGTTGAAAGCTTGGATTGACAAAAATCCTCCGTAATGAGGGCAAATTGAGCATTATAGTAAAGCTCAGTGAACAAAATATCAAAGATAGTTATCAAATGTTGAGGGCGAATACTTTCGTCTGTTGAAAGTTTGGATTGACAAAATTTTCCTAGTGTACAATATGAAAATTGTGATATTAAGTACGTTCTCATAAAACAGATGTCTGATAAAGACACAATCTACGATAATATTGTGGTGTGAAAACAAGTTTTGTTACACTGTATTTATTTACTTTATCTATTTATTTATTTGTAAATATTTTTTAATAAAGAGTCGTGACAAACTCAATTAAACATGGGATAAAATTCAGTTTCTTGCCATTTATCAAGTATTAGAGTCTGGCATTCGATTTTGTGCACAATTTGTTGAACATAAGTTAATTTCATTTTAAATATCAGTTGTATAATGTAGAATGCTTCTGGACGTCCTGCAGTAGTTCTGGGAACTTCAAATTTGCCAAGAAGAGATGCATACCTAGCTATTTTGTTATACAGACTGGTCTGAAACTGTTTCATAGTGAAACATGCCTGTGATAAAGGATCGTGACACAGAAGATAAAGTATTGGAGGGTAAAATGGGGCCAATAGGGATCATTCTTCCATTTGTTTTTGGATATTGTTAGTATGCCAATCATGTACATATATATAAACAGTCATTTTATTTTTGCTAAATAATAAAATATTGCACAATGGATTATCAACAGTTTTGGTAATATGTTGTTTATATTGTTTATGCAGCTATGATGGATTGATCCATCCTTACCAATGGTTTACCAACAATTATGCAAATATTTTCACCAATCTATCTCATTGGGATGCAATGAAACATTGCAAGAGTCTAAAATAAAGTTCAAAATTCTTCTAAAAAGACAAGTAAAATGGAAATAGCATACAAAGAAAATGTAAATTGACGCATATTGAATGTGTCGAGTGTCCAAACACTGAAAATACTTGGTGATTTGTTAAATGTATGATAAACAGCACCATGGCATATACATCGAAATCCTGGACAGATTAAGAATGAATTTATATAAGCTACCTTATATATAGATGTGCTCTAAATGAGTCACCTCCCTTTAGATTTTATGATTACCCCAAAGTAATTGATGCGTGTACACTTCACATCTTGTTATAAACGTACTTTTTCACGAGTCTTCAAATAATTACAGGAAAATCAAAATGCATGAGGCCCAATGGCTGCATTGCTCACCTGGTATACAGCTCACACTTGTAACCTTAAAAGTGATCTTAAATAAAGCTAAAGGCAAAATATCAGTATTTATGATTAAAAGTCATTCAAAAGAACCTGTTAAAAGATTTAAAAACTTTTCGCCCCTGTGACCTTGAAAGTCGAACAAGGTCATTATGTTTTATAGCCCTTCATCCCAGAATGCAACTTGCAAAATATCACCACCCTATCGTTTTGTTTATTGAAATTAGGTAATTTAAATGTTTAAACATATTTATCTATAGGTGACCTCAAAAGTGGGTCAAGGTCATTCAAATGAAATGATAGCCCTCCATCCAAGCATCATCATCATCACTCACTCGCTAAATATCAATATTCTAGGCCTCATGGTTATTCAAAAGAAGTCGTTTTTCAAATTTGTTCAGATTTAAAACAATATTGACCCCTGTGACCTTGAATATAATCAAGGTCATTCACTTGAACAAACTTGGTAGCCCTTAATCCCACCATGCTACTGACCAGATATCAACATTCTAGGCCTTATGGTTATTCAGAAGAAGTTGTTTAAGGAATTTACTATATTTGACCCCTGTGACTTAGAATATTATTCAAGGTCATTCATTTGAACAAACTTGGTAGCCGTTCATCCAATCATGTTACAGGCCAAATATCATCAACCTGCAACTTGGTTATTCAGAAGAAGTTGTTTTAAGATTTTGAACATATTTGATCCTTGTCACCTTGTGATCTTGAAAACAAGAGTCCCAATGGGCCTGTATCGCTCACCTGGTATTAATCTCACAATTGTAACCTTAAGGGTGGACTAACATAAAGCTACAGGCAAAATATCAGTGTCTTGACTTAAGTCATTTAAAAGAACCTGTTAAATGATTAAAATACATTTGACCCCTGTGACCTTGAAAGTCAAACATGAACATTAAATTGAACTAACTCTATAGCCTTCCTCACAGAATGCAACTTGTCAAACATCACCCTAATGGCCCTATACTTTTTGTTTATTGAGGTGACTTTTAAAGATTTAAGCACTGTGGACCAGATGTGATCTTGAAAGTATGTCAAGGTCATTCACATGAACAACCGATCACCCTGGAACCTTAAGTTATTCAGAAGTTGTTTTTAAGTTGTTTTTAAGACAAATAACCCCTGTGATCTGGAATATGGGCGAAAGTCATTCATATGAACAAACTTTGTAGCCCTTCATCCCAGTATACTACTGGCCAAATATCACCCTGGGCATTTTGGGTATTCAGAAGAAGTCATTTAAACATTTTAACATATTTGACCCCTGTGATCTTGAATATGAGGGAAGGTCATTCATTTGAACAAACTTCGTAGCCCTTCATCCCAGCATGCTACTGGCCAAATATTATCAGCCTGGGTCTCTTGGTTATTCCCTATGACTTGAATATGGGTCAAGGTCATTTCTTTTCAGAAATCTTATCGGGCATCATCCTAGATATTTATAAGCTAAATATCACACTTGTTGGCCTTTTGGTAAATCAGGAGAAGTCGTTTAAAGGTTTTAAAATACAGGTCAAGGTCATTTCTTTTCCCAATCTTTGTCAGACATTATCCTAGGAACATATCAGCCAAATAGCATGTTTCATAGCCTCTCAGTTAATCAGAAGAAGACGTTTAAAGGTTTTAACAAATTCGACCACTATGACCTTGAATATGGGTCAAGCTCATTTCTTTTCAGAAATCTTATCGGGTGTCATCCTAGATATTTATAAGCTAAATATCACGCTTGTGGGCCTTTTGGTTAATCAGGAGAAGCCGTTTAAAGGTTCTCAACATATTTGACCCCTGTGACCTTGAATATGGGCAAAGGTCATCTCTTTTCGCAAACTTTGTCAGGCCTCATCCTTGGAACCTATCAGCCGATGATCACCCTTCTAGGCCTTTTGGTTAATTAGAAGAAGTTGTTTAAAGCTTTATCAAATTTGACCCCTGTGACCTTGAATATGGGTCAAGGTCATCTCTTTTCGCAAACTTTGTCAGGCTTCATCCTCGGAACCTATCAGCCGATTATCACCCTTCTAGGCCTTTTGGTTAATCAGAAGAAGTTGTTCAAAGGTTTTATCAAATTTGACCCCTGTGACCTTGAATATGGGTCAAGGTCATTTATTTTTGCAAACTTTATCGGGCTTCATCTCATTTCCCTATCAGCCAAAGATCATGCCCTGGGCTTTCAATTAATCAGAAGAAGTCGTTTAAAGGTTTTATCAAATTTGACCCGTGACCTTGAATAAAGGTCAAGGTCATTTCTTTTTGCAAACTTTATCGGGCTTCATCTCATTTCCCTATCAGCCAAAGATCATGCCCTGGACCTTTCAATTAATCAGAAGAAGTCATTTAAAGGTTTTAACAAATTTGACCCATATGACTTTAAATAAGGGAAAAGGTCAATTCTTTTCGCAAACCTTGTCAGGCGTCTTCCTAGAAACTTATTAGCCAAATATCATGCTTCTGGGCCATTTCTTTTTCGCAAACTTCGTCAGACATTGTCCAAGGAAACTTTACCCCCTCTCCAAGGGAGAACGGATAGCTTGGGGGTCCTGAAATTTACAATTTAAATAAAGCCACTGATGATCTTTCCATCCATGCAGAGAAAATGACTGTAGTACCTCTTAGTCTGGAGAAGATTTTTGAAATATTGCTTAATTTTCCCTTTAGGGCCCTAGGGTTGGGGTAGGAATCCCAATTTTACAATTTAAAACCATCTTCCTCCAAGGATAATTCTCACCAAGAATAATTTCCTACAAAAAATTGTCAAAACATACCCAAAAGTGTTGTTTCCCTATATAAACTATAGTAAACTTTACCCCCATCCCAAGGGAGAACGGATAGCTCAGGGGTCTTGAAATTTATAATTTAAATAAAGCCCCTGATGATCTTTCCATCCACGCAGAGAAAATGACTGCAGTAGCTGAGTCTGAGTACCGAGTCTGGAGAAGAAGATTTTTGAAATATTGCTTAATTTTCCCTTTGGGGCCCCACCCTGGCCCCAGGGGTTGGGGTAGGTATCCCAATTTTACAATTTTGTAGCCTCATCTACCAAGGATGATTCTGACCAAGTTTGAAAAAATTCCATTCACTGGTTCTTGAGAAGAAGTTGAAAATGTAAAAAGTTTACGCATGACGCTGGACGGAAAGTGATCGGAAAAGTTCACTTGAGCAAAGCTCAGGTGACCTAAAAATAGATATACATAAGTCCCCGAATGAAATTTCATGACAGTACAACGACTTCAATTAACATCATTTTTTTTAATTCAGGGGAAGTTTTGGTGACTTTTATTACAACAGCCAATACAATTAAAACTTGTCCATAGTAAGAATGTTATGTGTTCATAACTTTTATAAATAAGGTTCACAGGGCAAGGTATTGAGAGTACAATTAATTTGGAGCAAGTCAGTCTTAAATTCATGAGTCACATTTTTTTTAAAGACAACAGTAAACAAAAACATGATTTTTGTTTTAATTTTTTCTCCATTTTTTTCTTCCATTTTTACTAAATGCACATCAACAAAACTTAAAGGAGTGATCAGTATGATATATATTATATTTCATATATTTCATAACAAACGAATGAATCAAAAAATAAATAATACATGTTGATAGTTAAGAGAAGGAAGAGTTGCTACAATATCTAGGTATACATCGGTAACGGGCACAACAGGAAGTGGCAGTCACAACAATCTCGTCATGACACTCAGTGTTAAAGGTCAAAAGGTTAAAGTTATAAAAGTCAAGATGGACATTTTATAGTATATGAGGCACAATAAAATGATAATAAAGAGAAGATCAAAGCTGACAAAATGAAAGGGAAATTTATTAAATCTTTATCAATATATTTCATCAGTAGCCTACAGTTCTTAAAAATCGGGAGGATACTTGGTGTATTTCTACAATCGACCTTATGTATAAAAAGGTTAATTTTATGATGTGACAGTCTTCTTTGCTGCTATATATAACTAACAGAGAGTGGGCTTTTTAGTGAACATCACTGGTAAAATAGGGTACATTCAATGGTTGAACAAATTATACATGGTTTACCAATATTTGTTTTTTTGGTCTCATACCTTTGATATGAACCTATGTAATAATTCAGTAGAAGTAGAAGTATTGTTTCCCCATATCAGTGCCTGCTGCAATTTAGTCATGTAAAAAGCTGCAATTTAGTCATGTAAAAAGTCTGTTCTTAAACCCAATACCTGTATTGATTATTTTACTATTTCGTGGTTGCCGAAGAAAAACTGACTGAAATAAAGAACAAAAAGGGAACAAAGTTATGAAAGTCTTTGAACATTCATCTTTCTAATTTGGACGTGTGATGTGAATTTTGGCATATTTCAAGTGTATAAATCATTGATTTGGGAACAAAATTTACTTCAAAATTCATTGATGAGGAAATAAGGAATAATTAAAAACATTTTGAAAACATGATCTAATCCTTCACAAACTTCCAGCATGGTTTATACTGTACAGTATAATTCTAAAGAAAACTCTATTTTCAGGACAATATTTTTTTAAAATTCCATTCGGCAGAAGTATTAATTGTATTACACCAGTTTATCAACCATTCTTTGGGAGCTAAATTAGTATAAACGGAAATAAGGTCAATCATATATCTATATTTAAAATAAAGAAAACATGAAAAAAAGCATACAGTACTAATGATTTAGTAAATACCTATGTGCCAAAAAGCACCCCTCCTCCATTTATGCTGTTATGAATGTCATTAGAAAGTTGTCCTGCAATAAAAAAAATAAACCATCAACAAACCCATTTCAAAAACAAAATATCAGCTATGCCACAAAACAAAAGTAGAGATGAGAAAAATAAACAGAATATGCATTTACCTTTGGATCTCAACAATTAAACAATATTACAAAATTTCAAATTTTCCATTCACGAGACCTTTATTGGCTTTTTTTGTTTAACTAATTTACCCCTGAAATTTCATAATGAACTATTCCAGCCTTTGAATTGGAAGAGTATAAAGTGTATCTTCAGGGGTGAATGAATTGAAAGCAAATAACAAACATAATATGCTCACTTTGAACTCATTCCTATCAGTGCCTTCACCTTCTTTGCCATTTTTACTTTATTACATATTATGGCTTCAGGAACAAGCTAAAACAATTCTAGCAAGCAAATAAAATCAATTATCCCAGGAGTGATAAAGGCTTTGAATAAATTTCAATGATTTGTTTTTAATTGGTTTTATATTTGTATTTGTATTTTTTTTTAATTCATTCCAACAATTTTACAGTTTACTGACCTAATTCATCTATTAAGCTAATAACATAATACCCAGCATACCACAGATACAATTAATTCATCACACAATTGACAATCTACAAACCACTACAAATAGAATAGAATACTAAATGGTAATTTAACAAAACATATATGTCACAACCCAATTTTGATACAGGTACTGATTGTTCCATCAATGTATCATTATTAACTTATAACAGACTCTGTATCCTTATGTAAATGGACATTTTTGGAAAAAAACTGCTGAATTTATTTGAAATATCACTTGTACTGTAATAGTTTCAAAAAAGGATGTACAGTGAAACCTGACTTCACTTTCAAAATACTTGTACACAGTACAAGTGGTAAAAATTTGAGATGACTTCTTTGTCATATCAAGAAATATATTTATAGAAATGGAAGACTGTTCCAGGAAATAATTTGCTTACTTATAATATTGATAATAACAATTTTAACCAGCAATATTCTTATAATAAAGATTTTTTCAAGACTTATAAATATAATAGCACTGCCCCAAATCATAAGACTGCAGATGAAATTGTATCAAAGAACAGCTTCAACAATCTTGAGGCTATAATTTCTTGAAAAAAATATCTGAAGCTACAATTATTAACAAGGCAAGACAATTAAATATTTTTATTTCAAAATTAATTTGAAATATTCTATTTAAATAAATTGTATTTTGGTAAATAAATTATTACAGAATAAGCAAACTTGCTATCAATAAAATTTGTACAAATACACATATTTAATTTTCAATTAAATTCGGACACTACTAATTCATCAACCTTTCATATCGGACACAGACCTTGACATGTTGTGAAATTTTCATCTCTATGAGCCAGTTCGTTTATTCGGAATGACCGGTATGTCTGTTTTTCAATTTAACATTTTCTGGCATAAATCATGACGGACCTGCAAAATTGTATGCAGGCCCTGCAAGGCTTTGTCAAGGCTAGCCTGAAAGCAGCATCAGATTACTACGTCCCACCTTATTTCATAAACGAACAACTGTTGTCCAACCGGTTCAACCATTTGGATCGCGATAAATGAAAACGGCCTTTGTTACTTTAAGTTTACAAATGGACATACTTCAGCCAAAGAATTGGGAACGGCTCACGATTGCCAGGCTTTCAAGTTTTATTTTGGCAAAACAATGGTGTTTTTTTAATTCATTATCAAAATATTAACTGCTTGCTCTGATTTATGCCTCAAATAAAAACGAATATTGTAGGGATCCCTGTACCACTGCCAAAAACTTTAACAAAGTTTTGAAACTGTTTTTCTGCCATGACTCTAGCCTTGATAAATCATTTCTGGAAAGAAAACCATACCTTGCAGGACTTTAATGAGAAATATTAAAGATGAAATAAGAAATAAACAAAGTATAATCAACAAGAATGTTCTGAGCGCAAAAAATAAAAATCAGCTGGGCTAGGGCGAGATTCTAACACTGGACTTCAGATTGTTATACTAACGCCATAACCAATTTGAGTTACCTGGTGAACAAAAGTGTACTAGCCTAATTGTGCTAGTTATATCCAAACAGGAGTTAGAGGGAAGATACTGTATATAGGAAAAACGGCAGTGCAGTGGGACAGGGATTCTAAAAAGGCAATCTGTCATTGTCTGACTTGTAAATGCTAAAACCTATTTACAAAGAATATCTGAAGAAAAAGTAATCAATTTGGTGTAATGCAGTTTGAAATAAGTCATCCTGTTTTACAAAGTTTATGTTAGCATAGCAGATTATTTCAAATGTGAAGTTCTTGTTAGAGTGAAGGATATTAAATATTATCTGTTCAGCAAATTTGAATGATCTAAATATTACTATTTCAGTGATCTATATCTCAGATGAAGTACTTTCTGGGGAAAAATTACCACCAGTTCCTGCTCCTGACAAAGGTTAATTAATCCAGTTCCTAGACAAGTGGGTGAAAAAGGGGAAAAGGTTTAAAATTTGAAAATGATCCTATATAAGCTTGCAGTCATCTTAAATCTTTAGGAAGATAATACATGTAACATGATAAGGGACTATCATTATTTTATAAAATTTATCTTTAATATATTATTTATACGGGATGAAAAAGAAGTAGATATATTGTAATAAATGAAGAAAAATGTAATGCTGAAATTTACATTAAGAAACTGAAGCAGCACAAATCAATGGATAAATATAAATAATATGGCACTGAAACAATCGTGTCAAGTGATAATTGAAAGAAATCACACAACTATGGAAAAATTACACATGATAACATAATAATTACATCTTAATTCTTTGGCATTTTCATACAGTTCCCAGCTTTTTCAATAATCTTCAATTGTGTTGTTATAACTAAAACACAGACACCTGTGTTCTGGATTTTATCATTAGCTAAATCATAAATAGGCCTGTTTAAAGCCATGACATATTTCCAATCCCCATTTAAAATGTTGTAACTGCTCAAAGCCACCAACAATGAAACTGATGATACAGTTGTGAGTTCATCAATCCTGAAATATGGCTCAATTAGACTTCCACCAGCTACACAAGTCCATGTGCACTGTACTCTTTCCTGTGTCATGTTATCCTGAACACACGTCTCAGTGTAGTGTAAACCTAAGTGCCTGTGTTAGAGACCTACTTGGCCAAGTCATTAAACACACTTTTAGGTCATTTTGTTCCGCTGAAGATTTCTACACTAAATATATCAAATTAAAAAGACATACAATAAACTTAATTTTGAAAATTCTACACAAATGTCTTTAAAAAATAATTTTGAAATTTTAATCTAGTAAATCTAAAATTTTAATCAGCATTGATGGAATAATGATAAAACAGCATTTTGAACAAACAGGCTCAGACAGATAGAAAATTTATATAAATAATACTTCTTAACCAATAGTATTATAATCTCTGGAATGTCAACCCACTGAAACATGGGATCTGATGAAAAAATAACTTTGAAATTTTAATAAAAGATTCCCACGGATTTGTCAACAAATTATGTTGTCATAGAAAACAGTTTCTATGATTTAGTGTGTTACATGTAGTTTGCTGAGTAAGAATTTTTGGCTTATGATGCACCTTATTACCTAATCTTCAAAATTTTAATTTGATCTTCAAAAAACAGGACTGATTTGTTTTCTTCCAATTTCATTTTTTGTTTACAGTATACAAATCTTGATCGATGGAATATCCAATTTTACAAGTCTATGAAAATCTGTAGGAACTTAACATCTTGTAAAGCTTATACATTTTTTATCACTTATACTAAAATACACAAAATACAAAAATGTACCGAGATACATCATTCCAAGTAATTAACTCTAAGTTACTGTACCTGTAAAATAAATTGCAATCCCAAAGACTTCATAGGGAACAATTTGTTTCGTATCTCAGAGATGCTTATTACATTTGCTCAGTGAACCCTTAAATTGATTTTCTCAATCTGGCATAATTTTTATTTAATTTTCATCATCTTATAATCAATATGTAAAGATTTAGAATCGGAATTAGATAAATATACCTAGCATTTTATCAATCTAGTTATGACAATATCAACTTTACGTGCTTTAGAAGACTTCGTATTTGCTATTGCTATAGCATTTTTCTTCAAATTTATAAAGTTAAATAATCAAACCAGCGGTATTTATATAATTACATATATAAAATCTGTGCACACATTTACTGACTTGTAGTGAGGTTAGTTTGTATTTGTATAGACCCTGTAAATGTACCACACACTAATAGGCTGTGAAGTTTAATATGACATACCTGGTCAACACAAAGTACAACAGACGACCATAGCAAGTTTTACAATATAAAGCATTCATACAAAGTCAGTTGGTGTCATGATGTGTTTGCGGAGGGAGAATCTATGACGTCTTTGTTCTGGGTGTAATAACAGACCAAAAAAACCCAGAAGTCATCCTAGCATGGACATGTGATGTCTCTCGACCAATCATATATATTCAATTTTATGGCAGTCACACATGTTTTGTATGAAGAAATTGATTGTATGTTCAAATCTATTATTCATTAATGACTTTAAGTCAATTAATACATTATCTTTCTCACTATAGTCAAAAGTTTGACATTTAATCGATTTAAATAGTTTGATACATCAACAAACACGGCCCTCACCTGTTCATTTATGTTGCTTCATACAGACAATATATTCAAGAATATCCCAACCGATGCTTTATAACACACCAAGTAATGGTAAGTTATGGCAAGATTTCCAGCTTGTTTGTAAGTTTGAAGGGTTATCCGGTTCTTGAACTCAAAACTCATTGACAAGTTTTCATTCCATCCTCTGTGGCACAAACATCTAAATCTGTGTACCGTAAGCTCAAATATCTGAATCCAAATCCATTTGGCAAAAATCTTAATCAAATTATGTGCTAAAATGCCTTGAATCCATCACATATGTGCTCAAACATCTGAATCCAAATTCCTTGAGCACAAATATCTAAAGCCATACTCTGTGAATCCAAATATCCTTGAGCACAAATATCTAAAGCCATACTCTGTGAATCCAAATATCCTTGACCCCAAACACTTGAGAGTGTTGTATGAGATGATCGGAGCTCTAACATGACATAACTTCCCTGAGCCCAAGCTTACAAAAACTGAAGTCAATGTTTGTTTATCGCAGTGTGGACTTAGAATACACTTAAAATTCTAGAAAGTCTTTTAGTAGTGTTTGTCTTCTTTTCTCGGCTATGTCCATTTGGTTTTCTAGATCCTGAAATAAAATATATTATAAGTATGAGTAATAGACAGGAACATTATACTATTTTATCCACTAGAACATAAACTAGATTTTGAAATTAAACAAGAGATTCATTGGGCATGTATAATTCATCTGTTACTTTTGTTATTTGAGCTGGAGAAAAATCGAAATGTTTCTGTGAACTTTAGACCATGGTGGCCTTTTCAGATTTCTTATTGTTTAATGTGTAATACCCTTTTTCACTAGAGTAATTTAGGCTGAGTGGAAGACTAAACACTTACCCCTCTGTCAGTTATCTCAGCACGCTCTATTTTCCAAGACAAATTCTCCACCTCCGCCTCAAGCTGAGCTTGTTGATATTCAAACTGAAATGAAAGTTAGGCCTAATGAAACCTTAGAAAATCCATTTTCAATTTGATAGCAAGAGACGTCCAACCTTGTATTTCAAGTCTGGAGCACATTTGAATGATTTTGCTGAAGCAAATAAAAAATCAAGTTTAGGAATCCTCTGAACTTCCTTATTTATGGTGAAGATAGGATGGAACCATGACAACAATACTAGTAAATATCCAAATGAAGAAATACAAGATGCCCAATGGGCCTGAATTGCTCAACTGGTATTAATCTCACACTTGTAATCTTAAACAAGAGGCCCAAGAGGGCCTGTAACGCTCACCTCAATATTTAAGCAGTCATAGCAAATATTCTCATTAAATATTATATTGTACTACAAATTTGTCACTCGCAAACTTTGTCGGGTCCATCTGTTGAAACTACCAGTCAAATATTATTAGAAGATTTTATGCTTTTTGGTCATCGTTCTTCTTCAAAAGTTGTTCGACATTTTTTTCCCTGTGACCTTGTAAGAAATGTCAATTCATTTTCCTTCTCAAACTTTTATAGCTCTATCCCAAGAAGCTACCAGCCAAATCTTATGAATCCATTCCTTGTTCTTCAGAACAAATCTATTGAAATGTTGTTTACCTCTGCGACATTTAAAGTAGGTTGAGGTCATTTTAATTAGCAAACTTTGGTGAGCTTTATCCCAAGAAGCCACTAGCCAAATATTATAATTTTATGCCTTTTGATTTTTTAGAAGTCACTTGATGCTTTTGACATATTTGACACCCGAGACCTTGAAGAAGGTCAAACTTATTTTTATTTTCAAACTTTGTCAGTCTCTATCCAAGGAAGCCAATAGCCAAATATAAAGATTCTATACAATTTGGTTCTTCAGAAGAAGTCGTTTAAAGAGTTTGACATATTTGACCCCTGTGACCTTGAAAGCAGGTCAAGGTCATTTTTATTCTCAAACTTTGTCTGGCTCTATCCTAGGAAGACACCAGACAAATATAAAGATTCAATACCTTTTGATTCTTCAGAAGTTGTTTAAAGAGTTTGACATATATGACCGCTGTGACCTTGAATGTATGTCAAGGTCATTTTCTTTCTCAAACTTTGTCAGGCTCTATCCTAGGAAGCCACCAGCCAAATATAAAGATTCTATACCTTTTGATTCTTCAGAAGAAGTTGATTTAAGAGTTTGACATATTTGACCGCTGTGACCTTGAATGTACGTCAAGTTCATTTTCTTTCTCAAACTTTGTTGGGCTCCATCCCAGGAAGCCATCATTAAAATATGAAGATTCTATACCTTTTAGTTCTTCAGAAGTCGTTTGAAGTTTTTGACATATTGACTCCTGTGACCTTGAAAGTAGGTCAAGGTCATTTTTGTTTTCAAACTTTGTCAGGCTTCTACAAACAAAGCTTTCAGCCGAATATCATAACACTAGGCCTGTCCATTCTTCAGAAGAAGTTGTTTAAAGGAAAAGTTGAGGAACGAGGACGGACGGACGGAAAACGCACAATAGCATAAGCTCACTTGCCCTTCCGGCAGGTGAGCTAATAATACCAGATACATAAAACAACCTTTTATATGGCTCATATTGACTAACTGTGAAATTCTTACGTAACTATAAATACCAGGTAAATATCTTTTACATGTCGTATACCGGGAAACTTTTGCTGTAGTCTAATTTGGCCTTTTTCGCCCTCCGCAATGAGGTTGAATTTATTATAACAGCAAACATGTGTAAACACATGATATACATACTAATTAAATGTGGAGGGCAAATTATATATTGGGAGAAAACAGATTTTACAGTGAAAGGGCATAAATTTACCAGTATACAGTAATACCATGAATCACTCAATTAGAATGAAATATATATATGTACAGGAATTTTATTTCAGTAGATAGGTTCATTTCAATAGCAAATTTGACTTACAAAGCAACTCATACTGTTATCAATACACATGTTAAATTTGTAGAAGAGGGTTTGCACAAGAATTTTACAATGAAATTCATAGCGTTTTGAGGGACTTTTAAGGACTTTTTCAGTAAATTTAAGGCTTAAAAACTCCTGCTATTTGCAAATTCTCAAAAAACAGCGATCTGGATGTGTAACCTGGATGTCTCACCATATAAAACCAGACAACTGTAAACTCTAACACTGGTTGGTTACTTAAGTCCAAAAAGCTAAAAATAACCCTGGTGAAATAATGTAATTTTCTTGTATTGGTTGAATTCATTTTTATGAGAATAACACCACAAACCACCAAAATTAATAGAAGATCATAAGTTAATGATCATTTAGTCTAATTCAAGGCTCATGTTGAATCCTTTCGAGACCTTTTTGTTAACTAAGGGCTTTTAAATCCTTTTCACCAATTTTAGGGCTTTTCACAGCCAATCATTTGTTTTTAGTTTTTTTTCAAGGCTGGAACGAATCCTGGTACAAAGGATATGAGAATACTCGTAGAAACAGTAATGGCATTCATAAATCATTTTAAATGCTTCAGGCAAGAACCTTGATTAATCAATCTGCTATTTAAACATCACTTCTAAAATATCCTGATCTATCCTGTATTAATTAATTTTGTAAATGACAGAAGTATTTGTATCAGAGTAAAAAGAGGAACGAAAGCTGCTGTAAATACTTACCAGCTGTTTCCGGGCTGTTTTTTCCATATAGTATGCGTAGGGATATGTATATTGGAGAGTGTAGCGACACTGTAAAAAACAAAACACGAGATCATTCTCTCCAACAGGTGGTGGGAAATGTCTAAGGAAGACTTGGCTCTGAGTACCATACATTTGTTTTGATTGAAGCAATGGAAATGTTGAAGGCGAAAAGTACTGATTCAGATTTCATGTCAGTTTCTACAAATATGAAATTTGTTCACTCCAGAAAAGCATTCATGAATGCCAAACTACAAAACTGTTTTTTCAAGAACATCAATTGGACTGCCAATTATGTTTTAATGACATAAACATGTGAAATTTTATGATCCTCATTTAAAGCAGTAGAATTATTTTTAACTGTAAGGTCCACAGTTACCTCCCCTGAGTTATTGTCATACCTTCTTGAGCAGGACTGCGGCATCCAGTAGGTACTGCCAGTCGATCCATGTGCCAGAGTTGATCATCACTTTCTCCTGGATACGAGTGGTTATTTTAGACAGTGTTTGTTCCTCCAACTTCAGGCTCTTGGCATGATTCTCATACTGATTACGAAAGGAAATATAAATCATAAAAGACCTTTCTAAAAATTTCATAATGTGATACTGTATAGCAGAATATATCCATTGAGATTAATTTTTCAAGATTTTGCAGGTCGATAATGTGAATGCGAAAATATAATACACAGAATAATATGACAAGCAATAAAATGAGCCACGAAATAACTTCATAACAGTAAGGTCGTCTTGAAAAAGCGCACATGTGGTTGTGACTAGAGTCATGAAGTTTGAAAATTCATGTGTATGTTTTATTCTATCTTATAGTTTTGTTGATGATTTGTCTAACAACATACATTTACTCAATATTCTGGAATAAAGTGTATTCATGGGACTATTTGACACTTTATATGTCGAGTGTCCAGACTCTGTGCTTAACACCGCAAACATTTTTTTACTTCAAATGTACTGGTTTAGATCGCGAAATTATCATCCTTGTAAATTTCATTTTCAAAATCGCAAAAAAAATAAGTCCATGTAAATAACCCATTATATGGTTACGCAGTTGCTTTTCGGTTCACGTTTGTACCTTTCTTACATCTCAACAGGGTGTAACAATAATTATCTATGTATAAGTTTAAGATTATAACACCAGGTGCAAGTCTGCATAAAGTTTTCTTTTCAATTTGATTTCAGTGTCGGTACTTTTAGAAAGTTCAAAACTTCTTTAACTGATAGTAGAATTTTAACCATACTATATAACATCTTTCCAAAAGTGAAATATAAGAATCAACAAGAACCTGTGTTTTAGATTTAATATAAGCATCAACAAGAACCTTTGTTTAAGATTTAATATAAGCATCAACAAGAACCTGTGTTTTAGATTTAATATAAGCATCAACAAGAACCTGTGTTTTAGATTTAATATAAGCATCAACAAGAACC